CTTGGGGAGGAGAGAGTTCGCATTCCCCTACAGTAGACTAAACAGAGCACAAGCTGTCACACTTAGACAATTACAGACACAGTCTTATTACTCACCGGCACAGGTAAAAGAATGGTGCAATATACAAGATATGGATGTTGTTTGCAAGGCATGTAAGAAAGAAGTATGCACGCTTGAGCATATGCTCTGGGAATGTGGGTCACTTGGCCATGGCATTTCCCGGGAATGGTTTACAGGAATGATAAGCTCTCACGACCAACGTTACTAGAACCAGGCTCACGACCATATCCCCCAAGTCCTGGCTGTCCAGTACTCCCATGACAGGGCTAGGAGGCTTGACCTCCCAGTCCCCACGTGGGATTAGCCAGGCAGGTGGCTACACCCAGTACAGGACGTATAAATAAAGTAATTTTTGCCGTCCGTCCATCCGTCCGTCCATCCGTCCGTCCGTCCATCCATCCATCCATCCATCCATCCATCCATCCATCCATCCATCCATTCATCCATCCATCCATCCATCCATCCATCCATCCATCCATCCATCCATCCATCGGTCGTTCATTTAGAAGGTCTAACGTTCCCAGTGATTCATCGATGCAACAGCGACCACTGCTGCATGAGCGAACGCGTTCGCTTTTATGCGGTGCTAAATGTCATCGCTTCGTCTATGCTCTTCGCTTATCTCATACTCAAGCCTCTTCCTCTGGCTAACGCGCTTCTCTCGAAGCGCCAAGTAGTCAGCAACTAAACGCTTTAGTTGTGCAGCTTAGCGTCATTGTGCAGGGGCACCGCCATGTTGCTTCCGTTCATTCTATCAACTGCGGCTAGGTGCTAAGGCTCGTGTTGGCTTGTAGTGACCAGTAATATTCTGATAAAAAATGTCTATGCGTGTTTGTATTAGCCAAGTGACCCTCTACGTGTCTTTTAATATAGCTAACGTTTTCTATCACGCTACATTTACCCTACTCAACTTTTATGGCTGTTTTTTTCTAAACTATGGACATTGGCATTACGAACGATTGACATTAGTTCTTTCTGTGTAGCACCACTTCATATTGAGTGACATTCGTTGCGTCGAACCACCCTCGAACCAAATGACAATAACACCTCCAGTGTGGTAGGGGTAGAAGAAAGTCACACGCTTGCGCTGTGAAACGTGGTCTCACATACAAGTGCCCTAATATTCAGAGGTTGGATGTAATTGGCGTTTTATTGGCGTTTTACGCCACTATGATATTTGATATCTTCATTTTTTCGCATTTATTTATTACACATTTATTTATTTGCTTCAGTTACCACCGATAACTGTCTTTGCAAATCAACAAGGCATCACCCATGCAAAAGTGACTGCCCGCTTCCATCCGGACTTGCTTTTGCTACACGCCCACTGCGCTGACAGCAGTAAACAAGTCAGTCACCGATTCGTTTCATATCACTCTGGGACTAAATCATCAGGTACGTTTTATTGATATTAGCGAGATATGCTGTTCGCTTAGCCGCACCTGCTAAGCAAAATGCACCGAGGCAGTGTTCGGACTGCGTCGTCAGACCAAGAACGCTGCATCTCCAAATATGGGACATTCAACAGCATTTCGTGCACGTCAGATCCTCTTTCTGTGAAAGCAAAAAAGAGAGACAAGAAGTGTTTCAGTAGGAGACGCGAAGGAACGCGTCGATGGAGAGAGAGAGAGAGAAACAACTTTATTTAAGTGAAAAAAACTTGACGGCAGATCCACGAGATGAATGATGATGAGATTGGGTGAAGCTCCTGGAAGTAATACCGTGAAATTTTCTTTCGTTCATTCGCCTGGCAATATGCGTGCTTCCTCGCCGCTTCCCATTGTCGAACGTTTTCAAGATTTGCTTCACGACGTTGACAGGCTGCCTCGGCCTCTCGTTCCCGTACGGAAGGAAGTTGCCAACGCTGACGTGCCGGTGCAGCTTCTTGTTCACGTACAGCGGGATCTTGCCGATGCTGCCTTGCTGATTTGGCTTCTTGTTCCCGTACAGCAGGATTTTGGCGGTGACGTCGCGCAGCTTCCCGGTGCACTTCAGCCTCGCATGCTCTCACTTCAGGGTCCTGTCTGCGAGCGCGCGCCGCCGCTGTCCTGCGCGCCCACCTTTCGGCATCCTTATCCATACGAGCACACACCGACGACAACAAGCATCGGCAACTACAAACCTGTATCGATATGGTTTGTTTTGATTATAAAACCATTACTTTAGAAAATCCCTGCGTCTTTAGATTAGCAGCTGGCGTCTTCTTTCTGTTTTGCTTTAGAAACATCTGGCGTCTTTTTGTTTTTGCTTTTAGAAAACATCTGGCGGCTTTCGTTGGTTTAGTTCATCAATCAACGGCGTTTTGAACAAAATTTTTGTCGTGTTTATTCACGCACAGGAGAAATCTCACCAGGCACTACGTTGGAGGTAAACAATGGCTGCTACTGGGAATGAGAGACAGCAGAAGTCAGCTTTTAACACTTCTGCTTATACTACCGTTTTCTACTGAAACATGCCAATGGCTGCTAATGGGGAATGAGAGACGGAAGAACTCGGCTTTTAGTTAACGCGCACGCTGCAAATGTTTTTTACTGTTCAACAACGCACAGGAGAAATCTCCCTCCAGCGCCATCTTGGAGGTCAAAGCGTAAGACTGGTTAAACACTACGACTACGACTACGACTACGAGGGACGAACGGGTGCCACTATAAGGAGCTTCTCTCCTAAAAAAATTCACAGAAAAATGGCGATCAGGCCGTGCCTGGCCGCTGCCTCTCAGCTCACTGTATAGCCCATAGCTGTACTTCTAGGCTCGTATCTCTGCGTACTCTTTCCCTTGACTCGGACGAGGGAGTGGTCAGGAGATCAGGCGGGGGTGGATCCTCGCTGCAGTCTCATAGTATATGAGAGAGAGAGGCGACGGAGCCACATTTTGAGCAATGCGGACTGAACAGATCGGGGTAAATGAATGTGAATACCAGCGGGCACGAGAACGAGTTTGTTTGGAGGCGGCGCCATGTGATTTCTTGTGGTTTCGTAAGTTTGGGATGTGGTGGTAGTTTTGTTCGATGTGCGAGGCGATAGTGCAGAGAAATGTCATGGTAGGACATGAGGGGCTTGCTATAGTTCTCTGGGTTCGTGGCGGGGCCAACCGCTCGGTTGACGAATTCTCGAGCTTGTCGGTGGGCGGCCTTGTTCCCCGGATTTCATGCGTGCAACGGGCTCAGATAAGAGATATGGGAGGTGGATTATCGTCTTCGAGGTATAAGCGAGGGTCTCAAGGAACCGTAAGGTACCGGGAGCAAAGGTACCGCGAGCCAAATGGGAGATAGCGGTTTTTGAGTCGCTGAGAATCGTAGTCAAACCGGAGGACACCGCGAGGGCTACGGCCGATTTCTCGGCTTTGGCGGGGTGAAGGGCACGGACAGAGCCTGCTACTCGCAAAATTGCGTCGGTGTTGAGGGGGGCGCGAGTAGTTATTATGCTAAGTGCGTACGCGCTTTGTTGAGAGGGGTAGCGGGCCGCGTCCACGTAGGCCACGTCGCGCCGCGAGGTCTAGTCGTCGTGTAAGGCTTGCGCTCGTGCTCGCCGTCTATTGTTGTGGTGTCCTGCAAGTATGCTTTTCGGCAGTGGTTTGACGAGAAAACATCGACGTAAAGTCGGAGGTATAGAGACCGGGTTTGCGCCCGATGGCGAGGCGGTGAGTCTTATGCGAGCGAGTATCTGGCAGGCCGGTCTTGCTACCACAAAGTCTCTGAATTTGTGCTGTGCGATGCGCTTCGATGAGTTCGTCGGGAGCGCTGTGGTTGCCGAGGCTGTGTAGATGCGACATAGAAGTCGTGCGAATGAGTCCAAGCGCCGTCTTGTAGACTTTGCGGATAAGTTGGTCCAGTTTGTCCCTCTCACATCCTAATGGGCGCAGGTATGGTAGCGCTTACGTGAGACGAGATACGACGAAGGTGTGGATAAGCTGGAATAGCTCTTCTTATTTCATGCCTTGCTTTCGAGCGGACACGCGAGCAATGAGGCAGGTTGTTTGAGTGACGGCAAAAGTGATGCGTTCCAGTGCTATTGGTGTTTCATTGATTTGATCTAATGAATAGGCCTAAAATGCGCATGTGGTCAACTTGTGGTACGGCTACACCGTTGACATAATTTGGATGGCCGGTTGGGGAAGGTACTTGTTCCGACGGCAGGTCGGGAGGACGAAGCAGCAAGAGATCCGACTCGCTCTCCGAGCACGTGAGGCCTGCCTGCGTCGCGTGGCTAACGACGGCGTCGGCCGCACGTAGGAGGGTCTCCTCTATCTCGCCGTCTGAACCCATAGTCGTCCACAGCGTGACGTCGTCTGCATATATGGCATGACGAAGGGCCGGGATGTCATCGAGTGAAGAAGGCAGCGTGCGCAACGCAAGGTTAAATAGAAATGGAGACAAAACCGCTTCTTGAGGGGTGCCTCTGTCTCCGAGTGTGAGGTGTTTAGAGGTGGAGCCACTGGCTAACGATATTTCATTGGTACGGTTCGAAAGGAAGTCACATGCTGCAGTTATATGTACGTTCACCCGGGTCAATAGCGGCAAGGTTTGAGGTGATGGCTTCGTGTCGCACCGAGTCGAATGCTTTATGAAGATTTAGACCGAGCGCGGCGCGAGTGCCGACCTTCGGCGGGGTACAGAGGAGGTCGTGGTGCATTTGTACTAGCGCGTCTTGCGTCGATAGGTGGGCGCGAAAGCTGATCATTGTGGGAAGGAGAAGGTCATTTTCTTCAGCGTAGATCTGTAATCGGGCAAAGACAACGTGCTCTATTAGCTTGCCAATGCAAGATGTGAGCGATATGGGGCGTAGGTTGGTGATGTCCATCTTCTTGCCTGGTTTGGGGATAAATACGAGCCTCGCGTGTCTCCGCTCTTGTGGTATGTGTCCCGAGTGCCAGCACTCATTAGCGTACCACGTGAGCGCATTCACCGATTTCACGCTGAGATATCTGGGGGACTCATTGCTTACGCCATCAGGACCAGGCCCCGACGTTGTGCGAAGTTTGAGCATTGGGGCGTAGATTTCCGCCTCCATAATATCTTCGTCCAGTCGGGGGTTTGGTTTGCCGCTGTATGGGGAAAGCGCTCCGGTGGCACGTTCGGCTGGGCGAGGTTCACGTAACGACGAGCAAACTCTTCGAGCAGCTCGTCGTACATGCCAGGGTAACGATGTAGCAGCCGGTGAAGCTGATTTTGCGCAGACGACTTGGACGCACAGGGATCGAGAAAATGTCGTAGTAGGAGCCACGATCTCTTGAAGCTCATCTGCCCGTTCAGACTGTCACACAGCTGACCCCACTGCTGTTTCGCGAGGGCGAGGCTGTGGCTCTCAATTTCGCGCGCTAGCGCTTCGATACGGCGGCGTAATTTCTTTTTGTGACGCTGCCGGCGCCACTTGCGCATGAGGCCAGCGTGTGCGTCCCACATGTGGAGGAGGCGAGAGTCGGTTGTGGGTAAGTCGGTGGTAGTCTTCAATTCACGGGTTGTTACTTGCACGTGCTTTTCGCAAGGAAATGATCCATTCATTGATGCCTGTAATGATGTCGGAGGCTTGTTCTTCACGCAACTGGTGGAATTTCGGCCAATCGTTATTGTGAGCTGTGGGTTTTGGCTTCTTGCTGAGGCGCGTTTGAACGGTTATCACGAGGATGTGGTCACTGCCCAATAAAAGGCCCGTGTTGTCCCAAGTAGCACGCGTAACGTTCTTGCACAGTGTTAGGTCCGCGATGTTTCACGGCACACACTGTTGCCTATGCGTGTGGGCGGCTGGTGTGGGTCGTTAAGTAGGGTAAGGCGAAGGTCTTGTACTAGTGACCATAGCTTTCTTCCTTTCGGATCAGTGTGCGTGTAGCCTCAATCGGGATGTCGTGCGCTAAAGCCGCCAAGCAAGAGCAGCTGCACGTCTCGGACGAGAGCGATCGTCTCAGTGAAGAGGCGAGAGAAATCTGCCGCTTTCTCTCGAGGTGAACTGTACACATTCAGGACGAAGAGCATTTTGCCTGTGCGTTTGCGCGGTAGAATCTCTACGATCGTATTCTGAATGCCCGTTGCTTCCCAATCGTGCTTTACAGCTGTGAGGCTGTAGTGAACGAGCGTGGATGAACAGGGTGAAGCATGTGTATCAAGCTGATGGTATACACGGTACTTCCAGATTGAGGTCTATCCTTTCGCTGCTTCAAGGTTCCTATACTGCGCAGTGTATTCGGGGAGGAAGAACGTAAAATAATGTGACGCGTTTGTTGCCGCTAGTTCAGTGATTATGTTGTTCCTCTTCTTTTTTTCTTTTGCGAATGGACAGACGATATTTCGCGGATTTTAGAGTACGAAGTGAGAAGTGGAAATGGGCAAACGCGAAGAACGGTAACAGACGGGTTTCGAACGCAGCATATGATTATGCTTTATGCAGAAACCTTTCCCGGAACCATATCGATTTAGTATTTTCGAGCACAAATGGCGATCACTTCAAAGCCACTAACACTTATGGACACATGCTGCTGAATGTCAACATACGTTCGATGACAACAGAAGCACGCGTATATACTCTGTCGTATTTAGGGAAACCGCTGAGCGCAGAAAAGGCCCAGGGAAAGAACGGCCGCCCTACTAATTGTACCACGGGACGTAAAATGATCGAAGTCACTTTTGAAGCAACGAGTGGCATGGTATCGCGTCCTTATTGTGTCAGACTTGCAATCGTAAAGTGCTGATAGATTGTGTTATGTATGTTGTGTGCTGAGCATTTCGCATATATTGCAACACAATGTTCAAGTGCGTGAGGGAACGAGATCTCATTTATATACAAAGACGGAAAGGCGTAAAAATCCAGGAAACTACGCGCGCATTTCATTTTGAGTGTAAGAAACAGTTGACTATTGCCATTCACTATATCGATTCCGGGATGGTGTCTTTGCAACACAAAATAAATGAATAATTATACGAGTAAGCAGCATGAAGAAAAAACGACGAATATTTCGTGATGCTATGATGTCGAGAAAAGTATTGCATGTGACAAAATATGCGTGATAACACCCTTCGAAGCAAAGTAACTAACACGTGTCCGGAAGTGCATGCCACTTGAATGAAGAAATGACAGCTCGCACAATTATAACCATCTCGTAGTGACTGCATTTGTTATTGAACTAAGCTGCATCGCTCTCCAAAGTATTATGTAGCAATTTGTGAGGAAAGGGTGCCGTGAGTACTCGGTGGGACACGCAGAAAGCGATGGCTCTGGCAGGAGTTCCCGCTGTACCTTGAACCGGCAGTCGATGCAGACGGACGCCGTAGCCCACAATCCTTTGCGTGAGCCATAATTTTGCTATCCACCTTTTCAGGTGTACAGCGTCGCGTGTCTTTCTGCAATTTATTGAGTTTATTTTAAGCTGCGGCGTTATTCTAAGACGCGAGCACGTGCAGGACGCTTGCATTTATTCTGTTTTAGTGAAACAGTTCAATGGTAACAAGTCATGCTTGAATCTCGCCTCGTTTAGAAATCGCACCTAATAGTGTCATGCGAATGCAGAAATACCGCAGATTCAGCAATTATATACGTGACAGATAGTTTATGTCACACTATATAGTTCATTTTGAAGAACAGAAAGCAATGTAGCATCTATAAAAATGCCCTTGCATTGAGGTATATTCGTCCACACAGATATTAAAAGTTCGATCATTCAATGAATGAGCGGATGGAAAACTTTATTTATTGTCCGGCACATTATTGGCCCAGGCTCAGGTCTCCCATGTGGGCACGTCAAGGTCTTTCCTCTCCGCCGCTCCACGGGCATGCTTCCCAGTTCGCAGAAAAAACCTCATGACTAATACGCTTCGCTTTAGCCTCGAATTCCAGAGATTGTGTATTAGTGTAGCTTTGTCTGTCTGGCACATCTTACAGATGTTGGTGCTATCGACCTCAGGGTATATTCTGTGATACAGCAGTGGATTAGGATAACTGTTCGTTTGCAGTGCTCGCCAGGCGAGTGCGAGGCCTCTACATCAATTGCCACTATGCAGAGGATAGCATCGCCGGACGAAGGAAAACGCCTTGATCAGTTCATAGTATCCCGTAAGTCGATCCTGATCCGACTATAGATACTTACTCTTCAACAAGGCCTCCTGCACGGTTTGTTGCGTCGCGTGCGGCAGATTGCGCTTTACCGCGTTATGGTTGGCGAAGTGCGGGCAGACTTCACTCATATGTGCGGATATCCAGATCAAGGAGGCCTAGGAAATCTGACCGGCACGCATACTCGAAAAGCTACATTCTGAATTCTACCCTTAGCCTGCGCTTCAATCATATTCCTACCCTTCCGTACTGCTGAGCGTGAGTCACTGAGCCCAGCTTGACTTTCGGGATAAGTTACGGCCAAAGCAATGACTACTTCTTCAGCGCGCTATCCGGACCGTCCGTCCGGATAGCGCGCGGAGTCTGTGAAACGCATGTTCTTATGGTTGTAATACGCTTTCAGTAAAAGTGCGGCTCTTGCTTTTACAGTCAAAGCTGTTATGACATCAGAACACGGGTCACGCGCGCCGCCGTAGTTCTCCACCGCTGTCACCGTCGCCGCCGCCGCCACCGGTGTCCATCGGAAACCAGTATCAAAAGAAAAAAAACTAAGAAATAAAGAACACCCATGACACAACGCGAATCGAACCCGGGTCCATTGCATGCCAGCCTGGGCATTGTACCACTGAAGCACGCTAGCTTTTTTTTCATGGTATTTAAGTACTTGGGCAATAAAGGCAAAATCAAGCGAACAAAAGTACAATGAAATTGCGAAAGTAAGCGTTCAAGTGTTACTCATAAACACTAAGTGGCTAACACAGCGCGAGTTCCTTACATGGAGAGTTCTTCACATCGTGTTATACAAACAAAAAAGGGGTGAGGTCAGACAGTTCTCTAAGACGGAGTACCAGTCCGGTCTAATGTCTAGCTCGTCGTAAATGTTTTTTAGGTGGATAGCCATTTGAATGAAGTGTGCACTTGAAGAGGTGGTGGGCTCTGCATTGCGGTCTTGCATTCGTGTTTTCCACAAGCTGTGCATACCCATGAGGAAAAACATATCATATGGTACTTCATCACGCGTTGCTGGTAGAAGATAACGTATTGTGTGAGAATTAATGACGAAACGCTTTTTCAGTGCTCGCTGAAGGACATCCGAAAATAGTATGGCATCTTTGCAGCTAACAAAGCAATGTTCAATCGTTTCCGGCCCATCACATAGACGGCAGTTAACAGACGGAAGGAAAATACCTTTTCTTTCTAACCATGTGTTTACCGCCAATGTTTCAGAGTGGAGTGTATAGAAGAATGTTTTTGAATTCGGTGGAATGTACATTTTGCGCACTCGCTTCAACACATCGTGACCTGGAAGATTGGCGTACAGTGAACGGTACAATGGAGGTGGGAAGAGTGTACTCAGTAGGTCCTTATAGGGCACCTTGCGCGACTACTGTGTACAGGTATTCTACAGAGAAGCGAGCTTTAAGGAACTGAACTGCGAGGTAATTTTCCTGCATGAATCTCCACAAGCATGGGCGTTCGGAGGAGTTGGATGAAACATATAAATCTGGTAAGCAATCAACAAGTGTAACCTGCAAGAAGGAACGGATTACAGGATGGGAATTGTCTCAAAAAAGAAAAAAAGAATCGGGACACTATTTGCCACAGATGAAGGTGTTTTAGTCGTAACCCACCCTCACTAACTGGCTTGAATATATTATCACGACGCATGGGCTCAAAAGTCGAAGATCATATGAAAGTAGCGAAAATCCGATGAAAGCGTTGTATATAGAATCTTGCGCAATGAATAAGTTGCAATACATAGTAAAGTTTTGTCGCTAAGAAAGTATTGCAAGCTTCAGCTCTCCCAAATATCGAAAGTCGATAGGGCACAAATGTCTGAACCTGTCGTTCAAGCTTAGGGACGCGTTCCTTCCAGTAATGTGCACTGAATCTATATGCATGCAATGGTACACCGAGGTACGTTGGAGGAGTTCTTGTCCAATTAATCCCTGCAAAGTGGTTCGGTGTGCTACCCCACAAGCCAAACCACAGTCCTAAACTTTTAGAGGCATTTAAACGAGCTCCTGATACTACGCCAAACTTTTCAATAGTATATACCACATTTTCGACACTTGGTTTATCTGTGCAAAAGAATGCGACATCGTCTGCATAAGCCAATACTTTAACCTCACTGCCTAATATTCTAAAGCCACGAATGCAACTCGACTGTATTATGCTTAAGCACAGTGGTTCTAGATAAAGTGCAAATAAAAGAGGTGACATCGGGCATCCCTGTTTTACAGAAGAGCGAATAAAAACTGGCTTGGAGAGTTGACCATTGACTATCAGACGAGTTGAGCATTCATTATAGCATGATTTAACGCCTTTAAGAACAACTTTGCCAACATTAGCTTGTTCGAGAAGAGAAAAAAGGAAGGAATGACGAACACGATCAAAAGCTTTTGCAAGGTCTACCTGTAGCATTGCAAGATGTTTTTGAGAACCATGACAGTATTGAAGCACTGTTAGAGCGACATGTGTATTGGTTTGTATGGATCGACCTCTAATCCCACATGTCTGATGAGACCCAATGAGGATCGACATAGCCTATTGCAACCTATTTGCTAGTACTTTTGCGAAAATTTTGTAGTCCACATTTGACAGCGATAATGGTCTGTAGCCCTCGACGAAGCGAAGTTTTTCCTTGTCAGTTCTTTTCGGTATTAACACAGTGTGACTTTTGCAAAAAGATTGTGGGAGTGTATCCATGTCATAACTCATCTGAAAAATATTCAGCAATATAGGAGCAAGCGTTTTCTTGAAAGCTTTGTGAAATTCGCCTGAGATGCCATCAGGCCCCGGTGTTTTCAATAAAGGCAAGTTGTCGATTGCTTGCTCAATTTCCTGTATAGTAATGGGCCCATTAGTGACTGCACAATCATTGTCCTTCAAGGGGTTCACAAGAGAAACAAAACTAGCCTTGAGGTGAGCGTCAAGATCATCAGAGGGAGAGCTAAATAAGCTGTTATAGTGCGTTTCGAACGTCAAAGTAATGTCTCCGTTATCTTTTATGAGCACATCGTTAAAGTACAAGTCTGGAATAACTTTAGAAATCGCATGGCGTTGCTCATCAAGTAAAGCTTGGCGCGTCGGTTGCTCAGAATTTAAAGTGCGCTGGTTCCGAGATCTAATACGTGCCCCTTGGAAGCGAGCAGCATCATATCTCTGTAGTTGGCACTTAATATTCTCAATATCTTTGATGTACTTTCCCGGCATTTCGCATTCCATCTCATAAAGATTGCAAAGACTTTTAACAACTATCTTTTCATCATTCTTTCTATAGAAAGACCTAACAGCCCCAGTTTCTAAAGCTATAGCACGAACTTCTTGTTTAAAAAGCTCCCAAGCAGCGAAGATATGAAAACCAATCGAAAAAGATTGCCTCAATGCCATCTAAACGCGATTAATGAATTCCTGATCACAGAGGAGCTTCGCGTTCATTTTCCAAAGAGCCCACTGGGGACGGAATTGTTTGTGACGATTTTCACCAATTTGCGCTATGACAATACAATGGTCTGAGAATGATACAGCTTCGGTGCTGCAGGAAATTTTACGAGATAGGAGTGATGAGGACACGTAAATCCGGTCAAGGCGAGCATGAGAGCTGCCTTGTACTCTTGTATATGCTGTTGCCCGATTCGAGACTCCGATGTCAATTAGTCCTGCATTATCTACAATACCGGATAAAAGCTCACCACTCCTGTCTCTCTTTCCAGACGAATTATAACGATCAATAGCTTCACATACGCAGTTGAAATCTCCCATAAGTACCGTGCATCTGTCGACGTCAATTAAATTACGCACTTTTTCAAATAACTCAAGTCGTTTCGGAACATCATTAAACGCATATAGATTGATAATTATCTATGGCACTCCTTGCAACAAAAAATCACAGCATATATACCTGCCCTCTTCATCAACACTAGTGCAGAACGCTGAACAGGGTAGGCTTTTTCTCAGAAACAACCAACAGCCCGCAGATAAACCTTTAGCATGTGAGACACACACATTAAACTGAGACAGAAAAGGCCGCAGGGCCTTCTCGGTCTCTTCCTCGCTCTCGATCTTTGTCTCTTGGATGGCGACAAAGTCGAGACGCTTCCGATTGAGAAGTCTACGGAGCTGCGCTTGTTTCTGCGAAGACCTAAGGCCGCGTACGTTCAAGGTGGCAAATATGAGTCGCTCAGACTGCGCCATGGTGACTACCTTCTAATTCGCTTATCGTCCCACTTGATCAGTCCCAAGAGTTGGCGCTGAGGCTTCCCGTGAGCCCCCAGCAGGCCTCCTAGATCGGGATCAGCGACACTTCCCCTTTGGCATGGACTTTCGACGACGGCGTGACTCCCTAGTCACTGACGCTGGGTCACTCCCTTTGCTTGAATCCGAGCTGGACGATGCGCGACGTTTTAGTATTGCTGTATCCGTAGAGATCTGCATATCATCTTCCGACACTGCACCATGATGAAAAAGCTGCTGCGAAGCTGCAGCGCAAGCAGGTGATGAACTTTCTGCGGCATACAGCCCAGAGTCTCTATCTTGTACTGGTGGTTCTTCGGCATCTTTATGGGTCAGCGCAACAGCACTCTTCATAGGAACTCCTACTTGTGCGAGGGGTTGTGCGGAGTTGTTTTGGGTATGCTGCTTGCATGATTCACTTGGCTCTTTGCACGCAGAAGTTTCAACTGTGTCAACAGCGAGTGACTTTCTTTCCTCTTCTGGATTCCTTGTGGTAGAGCCTGCAACATATGACATTGACGGAGTGTCTCCCGTTGCGTCCAAAACCATGGTGGCATCTATAATATGCTCTTGTAGGTTATCATCTGGCTGTTTTGTGTGCTGTCGCAGCTTGTTGGCGTATGTCATAACACAATCTTCGGCCGAATGACCGAAGCGTCGACAGTTGTCACAGCGAGGGGTCCTGCAGTTTCGACGGATGGGTCCAACCTTACTGCACCGAAGGCAAAGTGGTGGGCGGCCAGGTATCAGGACGAGGCTTTGCACTCCGCAGACAACAAGAATATGAGGAATATCCGCAATGCGAACTCCATCAGCAAGGGACAAAACAACATCCCTATTTAGCGTCCGCATTTGTTCCATGTCCGCTACTTTCCAGCTTTCTTGTGATATTGTCTTGACCTTCCCAAAAGCTTGCAGTGCCTCGTACACATAGGCGTCCTCCAAGCGCTCAGGAAGCCACATAAGCTTCAACTTCACTTCCGTGGGCTCCGGGTCTATAACGAGGCATCGACGACTTTTGACGAAAACTTCGCCTCTTGTGACCAACTTTGTTTTCGTCAGCGTTGACTTGCATGTGACCATCCAAACATGAGACATTTGAAATTGACCTATGGAGCTTATTTCCTTCAAGTCAATGATGTCCCGAAGAGCATCTCTAAAATCTTGAACCCGGTAGGGGCGACCAGCTAAGTCCGCATGTAGAAAAACAGAGTCCACAACAAGCTTACCGGTGGGAAGGCGAGGAAACACAACACGGTAGTCATTGCCGCTGGCTGAAGCCTGAGCAGCACCTCGGCCCATGGCCGATAAATCCTTCGAAGCGGAGAACATGAAAAACGCGTCCGTTCAGAACGTCGTCTTCGTCTCAACCACGCTAGCTTCTGTTGCCATTGATGCCTGAAACATTCACCAGTAATTTTGGAGTACGCAACACATGCTTCATCAGAAGTCAGGCAAACACATACAAGCAAGGGGAAGCCACTCCGGAACGGTGTCAAAAGTCTCAACAACACTGCGCACTTGAGCAGCTGCTTCACGGAAGACGGATCTCGTAAATCGTAATGGCTCAGCGTGTCTATCGATCATGCGACTTTTCTATCGTGAATAGAGTCCCAACAACATAAACAGTTGATATAGAGTGTTACAAGTGAGACTCTCTTTGAATGAGGAGAACCTAATATAATGAGCTTTGATTGGAATCTCTTTTCCTATCGTTCTTTTTAGAATGTCTGAAAAATAATATGCGTCACGACAATGAAATAAAGAATATTCTATCGTCTAAGGTTGGTGGCAGAGTCTACAAGCCACATTCCAAGGCACATATATAGATTTTTCATCCAGCCACGTTTTCTCTGGCAAAATCGAGCCCAAGCACTCTGCGTGCCAATGCAGAACTTTACGACAGAGCTACACCATGTCTCGGAACTGCTTTTCGAATAGCCGATAATCTTCGTAAATTGATTGATTTGTGGGGTTTATCGTCCCAAAACCACCGTATGAATTTGAGAGACGCCGTAGTGGAGGGCTCCGGAAATTTAGACCACCTGGGTTCTTTAACTTGCACGCAAATCTGAGCACACGGGCCTACAATATATTCTAGAGTAGCTTCAACTAGAAATTATGGCACTTCATGCATATTTCAATCGTGATCATGTGCTTCGTCTTCCGCGCAGGCCTGGTGTTTTTTCTGCGACCTAGGTTGTAAATCGGGTTCATGTTTGTTGGAATTGGGGCAACATGTATTTTCCCTTTCAATTGCTTAGGTCGCCCCGGCACAGTGGTCTAGTGACTAAGTTACTCGGCTGCTGTCCCGCAGATCGCCGGGTCAAATCCTGGCTGTGGCGGCTGCATTTCCGATGGAGGCGCAAAGGTTGTAGGCCCATGTACTCAGATTTAGGTGCACGTTAAAGAACCCCAGATGGTCGAAATCTCCGGAGCCCTCCACTATGGTGTCTCTCATAATCATATGGTGGTTTTGGAACGTTAAACCTCACAAATCAATCACAAATCAATCAATCTCCCCTTCAGAGGGCGAAGGTGCCTAGTCGTAATAAATAAATGTTGAAAGCATAAGCGTTTGTCTCGAGAAAGGTATCCATGTGCTTGCATATCTGCGCCCGCTCTCCCATGTATGTCTACCCGCTGTGCTCTTGAGATATTGTGAGTCGGGTGAAAGATTCCTCGATGAGATCGGCATGTATGGATAAAATTTTCTAAATGGTTTTGTTAGGCAAAGGTACACTGTATCCAGTGCTATTCCCCAGCCAAAAAAAGGAGGGGGGGCTCCTCGAGTCAGCTGCCGTAACTGATCGCCGAGTGACAGCCCACGAAATGGTGGGAAAAACATTGAAGCTGAAGGAAGGAAGGAAGATAGGAGAGAAAGAACGGCTGGGAGGTTAACCAGCCTATAGGCAGCCGGTTTGCTACCCTGCGCTTGGGAGGGGGATGGAGGAGATGAAAGATAGATAGAAGAGAGGGAAGAGAGATGAACACAGCACATTCGACAGCACACGCGCGCCCACTCAGTCATAGGCCAGTCTTGTCTTTCGCGGTGTGTGACATTACAGTTACAGCCGCTTCTTCTAGTCCGCGTCGCGTAGGAATTTCAACAGAGCTTTTGTCGCCTTCTGTTGCAATGTTTTCTCTCGGACACTTGGCAGAATAGTGTGCACAGACAATTGGCTGTTATCGATGCGCGCAAAAACGGACGCCAGTGACCATCTCTGGATGTCATACAACGGACAGTCACACAGGATGTGGCACAGCGTCTTTTCGCAATGACAGGCATTGCAGAGAGCGTTGTCAGCCATTTATATGACAAAGGAATAAGATTTTGTAGATGCCACTCCTAGCCATAAGCGATGAAGAAGGGTGGCTTCTCTTCGGTCGAGCCCAGTGGGCATGCGGAGAGCCATCAAAGAGGACAGGTGGTGTTGACGATTCGTCTCGTTGCTTGGTGAGCACCATAGTGAGAACGTGATTTCACGCGCAAGTCGTCGAAGATTACTGGCAGCATCGGTCCTCGAAAGTGGTATGGCTTCTTTTCGTGTTCCTTCAAGAGCTGCCCGCACGGCAGTATCGGCATGTTCGTTCTCTATGACGCCGCAGTTACTTGGCAGCCACTGAAACGTCACATGATGCCCTTTCTCGTGTGAAGTGTGGAGAAGGCACCGAATTTCGAAAACAAGCTGTTCGTACGGCACGCGACGCAGTGCTCAGAGCACAGATAGTAGGGCAGCCGTTAAGTCACTGAAAATTGACCATTGTTGTGGTGATTCCCGATTGACCACTGATGTTTCAGACTTGAGCTTTAGGAAGATGCCTGCCGTGATCGCATAATAGCTGATTAATCTCTGACGAATATGCCATATTCAACGACACTACCACCATTTACCATGTGCAACACCTCATTGCATTCATGGCACCTCACTTTCTGGGAGCCCTTGCAACAGTGGTAATCGCGTTGACAGTGGCTAGTCTATGCCACTGTCAACTAGAATACTATGTACTGATGAGATTGAATCAATTCATTAACAGACCTAGTCCCCCTATTTTACTGACCGTTTTTCTACATTTGCACTAACTAGATTAGTGCTTTGCGCTGTTCTCGCAATTATACTGCTGTGTACATGTTATCAAGTCACATGCTAATACATGCTTTTTTTCTGTAGATGAGATTCCAAAGACTGCATGTGCTCAGCACTGTATCAGATTGATTGCACTCGTGCGTTGGCGTCTCGGCAACCAGTGACACTTATTATAAGCGACATGCTTTTACAGTCATGACCTGTACTATGTTGCCCACTTGCATTGATACATATGTTACATGCTCTTTTTTTACAAACAGAAGCATTGCTATTTACAAATAAACGAAACAAGCCTTAACAGACTAATTAGTTTGTCGAAATTGTTCGTCGTAGTTAAGACGCGGTCATCCCACTTCTGACACCATGTATCAGATTGATTGCACACATGCGTCGGCGTCTAAGCAACCAGTGACGTTTATTATAAGCGGCATGTTTTTATACAGTCGTGGCATGTGCAATGTTGCACGCTTGCATTGATACATATGTTACAGCCACTATGATTGCACTCAGTGTTTTTGGACGCAAGATCTTATGCGAATTACATTGAACTGGCAATTTAACCACAGAACTATGTCGTCCAAGTTGAGCACACTGCTGCACCTGGAGACGTGCTTATAGGACATGGACTCTGACGCGGAACTTAATTTAAACTGTCAAGTTGTGCAAGTTGACAGAGTTTCAAAAGGCTGAAAATACTTACTGTTGCCAAAGACATTTCGCTTTTAGTAGTGTCCGCTGTGAGCTTGTTTTATGTGCACCTTACCAAATGAATGAACAGACAACTAAGCCAAAGAAAGCATAGGTGAAGGTATTTGCTCTACCGCAGTTTGATTTTTCAGTTTAAACGAATGAAAGTGGACGAAAAAGCACCCATTTCATTTTGGGGATCTAACCCCACAACAGTGAAAGTACACGTCTAATGCTGTACCAATCGAAGTTGCTGAGTGTCCCTGTCGACTCGGGTGTTGGTCCATGTAATTCCTAGAAGTGTTAGCCAGCGCCACTTGTGGGCAAGGTGACGTGTGGAACATTTTCACTGAGGATGGCACGCGACTATGGCTCAAGATGGCTGATTACTACTAAAACCCCGTATGCTAATTTAGGCTGATAACTCTACCAAGTTGCGAGCTTCCCGCTTTGAATGAACAAAAGGGGAATTGTTTCCATAGGTTCATTCCTTTGTTATAACAAACAAAATAAATTCAACAATTAGCCCAAGGAAAGCATAGAAGACATTGTAATCTTTATCTTTAGTTGTAACTATCAAGTGAATAGGCGAAGCCGTCACCGAGTAACGGTGACAACTGATTCGTTTATTTTCTACCTAAATAAGGAAATGAGAGTTAGAGTACGCATAATTTTCCTTTTTGTCCGTGGTATTCGAACCCCCAAATTCCGCATATAACGTCCGATTCTCTACCAATTTTAGAAAAAAAGGTCCTTCTTTCATGCATTTCTCGGCATCTGGAATTCTAGGCAAGCAGAAACCTGACTTTGTCTCAAATATTGAGTTCCCCATGATCTTGCGTTACCATGCGCACAATGTGTATCCACAACACCTTAACAAGAATTCTTGGCATCCTCACAGCTTCTCGAACTTCACTATCATCCGATGGATTATCTGTGGAAACCTATAGCCATGCCATTCATTCGTCCACAACGAGTCGTCTTCGGGCTCCTGCCTCTTGCTTGCCTTCCGCGGAATGCGTCATGCAGCACAGCCCATTGGTGTGGCCTGCCCGTCTGCCTTCACTCCGTTTAGGGACTCCCTTATGTGTTGGTGCACATCATTGCGCTGTGACCAATGGCGGATGAAAACTGGGCGACTGACTGTGTCTCACCTTGCCCCCGCGGGACATGTCAGCATTCTCCGGATCCACCCCGGGTTTGTGAAATGATGTGAAACATCCTCACGTCGGTGTACGTCAGTGTTATTGTACGGTGCTGTTTCAAGGACAATCTCAAAGCTTCCAGATAATGCCACACCTCTAAATGTTAGGCTGCTCGGCTGCCATACAGCAAATCTATTGTTTTTAGTAACTGCCATAATGTCATAGAACCATATTGTTAAGTTGCACAAGCGTAATGTTTGGTGCATCGTGTTGCCATTCTTGTATTTCACCACCATATACGACTGCAGTGAAATTGGCCAACCTATTTGCATGTTTTTCTTATACATGATAAATGAATCTTTGAGATTGTGCCATGTAGTAGCATATTGATGCTCTTTTGCTTTGAACTGCGTGAAAATCTGGGCAACGTGGCGAAACT